GTTTGTGTACATTTAAGCATTCACAGCAGCCAGCGTGTTTTGCACTTGGTAGTTGTGCTATGTAAGCCTCATGTGACAAAACACGGGTACAATGGGTACTTTCCAAACATGCCCAACTCAAGCGCCCACCGACACCGAAACCAGGTCAGAGGTTTTGCGCACGCACATCGGAGGTTCTGCATCTTGAGCATGAGTTTACAGCTCACAAAGAAACATACACTACGACAACGCATTACACATAAGTGTGTCCATGCACAAGTGCTAAAAGTACTGGAAAACCGTACCTAGTTCACATACAGCAATATATTTGTTGCACAGTATGTACTTATGCGCATACAAACAACCTATATATGTGTCATATATGATTGTGTTTGTCAGCGAGAGGAAGCGTCTCGGTGTGTGTTTTGCAAACTTGCCTCAGAATGGTGCGAGCGAGGCTGCTGCACTGTTTCACTCGCGCGCATGTGTCAACCAGCAATGTTTCACTGTGTAGCCGAAGCTTGCAACGTTTCACCTGCCTCTTGAGAGAGTAAACGCATAAGCAATTCAGGACCTCCCAGCGAGGACCTGTGGGGGGTGGAAGGTATCCCGTTGGCTTGCCAGAACCCAGCGAATCCCTTGGCCCAGTGCCCAGCATGGTGCATTGCGCACCACTGCCAGCCATCCAGAGCGCTGCCTCTTGCATGCCGCCGGTGTTCATTTGAGCATTGGGCGGCCAATTTTACCCCGTCGGGTTTGGAGAGAAGACCTTGATTGGTCATTCTATCTCCTTTGGCAGCATGCAGTCCGGGAGGCGATCAAATCCCCATGGAACCAACACAACTGAGTGGTTCCAGCCGGGATTCCTCGCTTTCCGAATCACAGTGTGCAGAGCGCCCAATCTGCAAAGTGATCCCTTGCGCATCTCTCGTCTGGGGATGAGGTGTGAGACCGGTGAGATTGTGGCATTCGCAGGATTCGGCAGTTTGCATCCTTTCGGGCCGGCCGGCGATACCCACCATGCGCGAAGGGAGTGACTGATTCAAGTACGGCTAATTGACACGCTTCGGTGCAGAAAAGCCAATCGTTTTTATACCATGAGGGGATCGCATATGTGCCCTTGTTACGAATCAAAATTGAGCGTGCCCAAACCCTTGGTCAAAATTGTATAAGAATTTTTTGGGCAATCTGTAAGGGCTTGGCAACCGATGAGTTGTAAGGGTGTTTTTGCTTATTGAGAGTACTTATGTTGGGCATGAATTTAGAGGGAAGCCAAAAGGAAGCCACACAACATGTCCAAAGCCCAACAGCTAAGTGTGTTTGTTTGTAATTACTCTTGGTTTCCATGAGAGTTCCCTTCCGTGGGCTAAGCTGGTGGCCGACCCTTTGGATGTAGCTGTGCCTCAGAGGGGCCAGCGACACACCTCTGTCCGAGAAGCGGATCGGAGAGAATGGACGGCTGGCTCTTGTGAGCAGAAGGTGCAAGGCGTTCACCACAGTCAATTAAATTGTGTGTGACTGGATGGGCTAAAAGCGGTTTGGATGGTGTTTCTTGCTCACGGACAAGCCTTGCACCGAAAGGTGTGTATTCAGACAGAAAGCATGATCCAGTTGTTTTGTTTTGTTTTGGCGCACTCACAGGCTGCTCGCATTGGGCTCTGCACTGCAGTTGCCGGCAGTTGCCGGCAATGCTGTCGAAATATTCGAGCCAGTCCTCGCAGTTCTTGGCATTCAGCACGCCGTGTATTTATTTGGGGCCATTAAAATGAATACTTGTTGCGAGGCTCTTCTTTTTTTTTCCGGTGCGTTTGTGTTCCATTCAGAGGGACAATTTGAGGTTATTACTTGAAAAGTGGACCTAGCCACAGGTGTCGTGATGGTCTGAATGGTGATCGCCCTTGACCACCTTTTTGCCAACCAGCTGGGCGTCTTCAACTACAATTGGTTTCCGCTTGCATCATCCGAAACGGTCCCCTAATGGTCCATTTGGAGCACAAAAAGCGACAAGGTGGCCTGACTGTGTTTGATCTCGCTTCCCCTTCGAAAAAGTCCCTCTCAGATGGAAAGTTGCAATGCCGAGCAAGGGTACCCTCAAGAGGATCTAGGAATTCCAACCAACTTAACTTTTTCAGGGATTCGCTGGCAGGCGTACTTTGGAATCCCCTCCCAAAACAGGCGGGATTGGAGCTGTTTGCAAAACCAGGGCCATTTTGCCGAATCCTTTGAAACTGTTTACGAGAAAAGCGGTTTACAAAGTGCCCTTGCATGTATCCTGTCACTGTCACATCCCCAGTTTTCCTGTGTTCAAGCCTGAGCCTGACGCTGTCGGACAGGTGCTTTGAACCGCGGGAAAACAGGGCCCTTAGAGGGCTCTGGTGGTATTTAGCAGCTCGCTTCTTGGGCAAGGGACGACAGCACGTCAGCAAAAACAAGCTGTCCACTTCTGAAAACCGAACAGAAGGCAAAGAACAACTTCAGCTTTTCGTTTGGCTCACCATTTCTCGTTTCTCCGAGGCTGCAGGGCTGGCCAAACAATGTGTCTATATTTCTGTCCGCCGGGGCACCTTGGGCCAACAGCGCCCGAGAAAAGGCGTGGGGTTGCTGGGTCGTTGATCAGTGCGTTGGTTTTGATTTGCTGTTCTGTGTGTTTGACTTGAGCGTGGTTTTCTTACTTGTCCACTTCCAACCTTTCAACCTGTTTTTCCTGGTGTTGGTCCATATTCAGTCCAGCCTATGTCCCCAACATATAACATGTCCTTTCCGGGTCGTTTGTCATAATTTTGACGGGGATGTTGGCTTTCAAAATTATGGATTTAAGGGGGGGGGGGCGTGTACTGAAGGGTGGGGCTGTTTTCAGTGTTGCTGAAACCCAATGGTTTTCAAACTTGTGTGTTTTCGAAGCTGAACAGCCCGAAAAGGCTATATTTTTGTTTTGGAACAATGCAAAATACGGACTGGAACAATGCAAAATACGGACTTGATGGCATTGCCTTGTTTGAGCTTTTGAAACTCACACCCGGTGAATGTGTTTTTTCTTGCATTTTCTGACTCAGATTACACATGTTATTGCAAACCAGAGCAAAATCAGTATAAACTGTGGGTGGCACACACCAGACCATCAAGGAATCAGTTTGTGGGGGCTAATTATGGATTTGAGCTAATTATCAAGGTCGCCCGCTGCACTTAAGCACGTTTCTGGCGCGTTTAGCCCGATTGAAGCAGGGTGTGAACAATTGGTGAGGATAGACATGTTTTCGGGATTTGGCGAGGACAGCAATGAAAAACGCAGCACGTACCCCAGTTGCAGCACCAGCCTTCGTCAGAACCCCCACGGAAACACCATGGATCCAAACAATTCAGTGCAGCAAGGCCCAATATCAAATTGACATGTACTCACATGTTTCAAGGTCAAAAAAGGCAGCCCCATACGTCAAACAAAGTGGCGTGGGAACATCAGCAACTGAGCCCATTTATCAAGAGACGATGCAAATTGCTACTGTCACGCAACGTGCCTTTACAGTGAGACCGGCATTCTCACGACTTTTGCTCTGCTGGCTTGAGATTCAACATACGCCGCAACGCAAGTGACTTTTGCTTGGGCCCAGCCAACAAAACTTTAGTGCAAAACTCAACCAACATGCTAAAAAAGAGGGGCTAAAGGGCGGATCAAATTCCTTAAGTGCACCACCCAAATCTAAGCTAATTAACCGGCAGCCAAAATTCCATGAGTGCAGCCAAAAATCCTTTTTGCGGGTGCTTGATTTAAGATTGGAGAAAAAGCGAACTCAGAGCTCGCTTCCAGCTCCCTACGTTGGTGCCGCATTATCAGCTGCCCCTGGCGTTACCGGCTCGCCTCATCCAGGCAGCTTGCAAACGAAAAGGTGCTCTGTGGCACCCGGTGAGTTCTCATACTGTGGATGGACGAAATCCACTTTGCACCATTGTTACAGGGGAATCACCATTCCAGGGTTTCTTAGGTGGTGCAGGATTTCGTCCATCCAGCAGGGAAGCCCCGAAGTGAATGGTACCTCTATAAGGGTGTCCCTTAACCATCTAAACAGAGGCCCCCTATTTTGACCCACACCCTTTCTGGACAGCACTTGGGTTCTGGACATGAACAAGCAGTGCTCGGTGGCCCGCAAAGAAAGTATGTCGCAGCTAAAAACTTGTTGACCCCTCGGAGCCAAAAGAAACACGGCACTTTGCCTGAAAGGCTTATGTCCGCCTCATTCACTCCTCGAATATCCAGTGCTCTGGCGGATAGAAAGCTCACGGATAGGGTGTAAAACGAGCGATTCCACCCAAGATTCCTGACTTCGAGAAATCCATGATTCAGGTTTGTGAATTATAGTTGTACAATAGCAATTTGCCCAGATGTAATACAAGGGGCTAAAGTTAAAGAATTGCACACTCTGTATACTCTGTATTATCCTGTGGATCATGACTCAATTTGGCTTCAACGTACCCCACAACCCCATTCGAAATATGGACCCCTGATGGTACTGGGGTCCGTCTGTTTCCAACTTTTGTTCGGATCGCTAAACGTGGCAGATCATTGGAAGCCAACAGTGAATTGATCACTTTTGAGGGAATTCAGCGACCCCTGATATTGACCGTTGTTGAGTCCATTTGAGAGATGGTACATTAGACTCTTGTTGGCCCCGTGAGCGTTGCCCACGGCTAAAGTCTTTCTGGACCACTGATCCCGGGTCTGCCAAGACCGACAAAGGCGCAAACGCCTGAAATGGCCTGCAAACACTGCTCGTCCCTCATGTTTCAGTTAGAAGCCTCAAGGTTTGTTGGGCTATGGTGGGGTCCATAGGAGGTGAGCTGCACGCGGGACGCATCGCTTTCCAGGCACGTTTCCGAGAAAACGGGCGAGAAGATGAGGCAAGCGTGCAAAGCGGGTACCAGCAAAGGAAGCATTTCAAATCGCAAGAAACAGAAAGGCTCATATGGGTGCAACCAGGAATTGCCCGCCTTTAGGTTGTGAATGGGGTTAACCCGGCCAGAAGGTACCAGTGAATTGATTTCCTTGCGTTTTCTTGCCGCCATGCTGATGCGAAGCCCGACTCGTATCGAGTTCCGCGTGGAGGATGCACAGGAGGGGTCGAGAGAGGTAGGACTTGGTGGGACTCATGCGGACCCATTTTTTCGACCCCCTACTTTTTCTTTTACAAACCAAAAGGCAAAAAGCCGCTCGGCGCCCTGGGATTCATGACCCAAAGATAGAGCTGCTGGACCCAGGACTCAGCAACCTGGCGGATAGGCTGGTTTCTCCCTTCCGGTAAAGGACCTCAAAGCAGCCCATGTTTCCTGGGCTCCCAGTTCCCATTGTTTTGGCTTTGCAGTGCCCCGCAGTCCCATGGAAAACTCCTCTAGGCACGTATAGCGGCTACACTGCATGCCAGTGGCCTGTCCTGAAATTGGAACAAAAACATCACAAAAATGTTGGTTTCCTTGTGATTTCCGTTCAACACCATCCACAAGGGGTCCCTCGATTCTCAAATGGAGTCTCCAAGACTGGCGGAATCGGGTTGTGACTCGTTGTGTATCAGACGTAGGGTCCCAACTTGTAGGACTCCCAAGACGCGAATGGGAAGCTATGTGCAACCACTCATACGGTCATGCGGGGAGAGTCCATATTTCCCATTAGGAGACAACCGCATATTGCCCTATTTTGAAACAGGCGGTTGGATTTTCCATACAGAAGGGGCCGCCATGGGGCCTTGCGTTTGCGAAATACCTGAAAATCTCGGAACAACACTCTGGAAACGGACATGTGACCCAAACCTTGAGAAAAACAAAAACACAAAAACCTCGCAAAAAAGCCTTTAAAGCAAAACAAAAACAATCCCCTGGGGAACTAACCAGTACCTCCAAGGTTTTGTTCTGGGGATAGTTGTTTGTTGTTTCTGTGTTTTTGTTTGTTGGGTTTTTGGGTTTTCCGAGGTTTTCCCACTTCCCGTATGGTCCCCTCCGTGTTTTCCGAGTATTCCTTCCGTGTGCTCTCAGTATTATTTTAGTCCCGCACTATCCCTGGGAATTCCTTATTGTTCTTTTAATATTCCCCCATCCTTCCCATATACATGCCTTTGGTATTCTCTTGCCCCTAGTGTTCTCCCAGCAAAGTATTCCTTTAATAATCCCCAAGTATTTCCCTCAGTATTCCCCTAGTATGTTCCTAATATACACGATGCTTCCCCGGTATGCCCTTAATATTCCCCTAGTATTCCCCAGAGTATTTTGCATTCTCTTACCCCTAGTAGTTGTATTCTCCTAATATTCCCCTTATATTGCCCTGCTATGCCTTAGTATTTTCTCGGTATTCCCCTAGTGTTCTCTCAGTATTCCCCTGGTAGCCTAGCATTCCTTTGTATTTTCCTCTTGTGTTCCACTGGTATTCCCTTATTATCCCCTCGGTGTTTCCCTAGTTCTTTGCTAGACAGAAACTGGAGCGCAGATGGGGAAGTACAAAGGGGAATACTTGGAGAATACTAGGGGAATACTTGGAGAGTACTAGGGGTACACCAAGACAGTACTAAGGAATACTGAACAATATTGAGGGAATGCTCGGGGAATACAACTCTAGGGGTAAGAAAATGCGAAAGGAATAGGGGACTATTAGGCGAATACCAAAAGGAACACAACTCAGAAAGTGAACTATTCGAGGAATACTAAGGGGCATCTTGAGGGAACACTGGTGAATACTATGAACTTGCAAGGGGAATACTGAGGGACTACTTGGGGAATGTTAAGGGAATCTAGGGGAACACTGATGAAAGACTACAGGGTACACCAAGAGAATACTGGAGGAATACTAGGGGAATACCGAGGGGAATACAGGGTGCTAGGGAATTACTAAGAAACTGCTAGGGGGAAGATTGATTGAATATTAGGGGAACACTTGAACACTGAGAGTCTATTAGGGGTATACCAAGAAATACAAACGGAGTTAGGGAAATACTAGGAGAATTCAGAGAAGATGCTGAGGCAATACGCGGGGAGTACTCGGGGAGTACCAGGAGAATACTAGGGGAACAACAAGGGGAATACTAGGGGAAAAAAAGGGAGTACTGGTGAAGCACAAAGGGCGGATACTCACCAAAAAAATAGGGAGTACTGAAGGAATACTTGGGAATAGTTACCAGGGGAACACTGAGGAGATACTAGAGGGTGTACAAAGAGAGTACTAAAGGAGTCTTCTGAGAAAGCCGAGGGGATGAAACGGGACTACTGGTGGAATACAGATTACTAGGAGAATGCTAGGGAATTTCCAAAGAAAATATTGGGGAATATTGAGGGAACATTAGGGGAATACTGAGAGAATATTGGGGGTATACTAAGAAATACCAAAGGCACACTGCGGGAATATGAGGGACAGATTTTCTACCAGATTGCTAATCAGGGGAATACTGAGGGAATTCTAGGGGAATTTTGGGGGGATACTAAGGGAATGCCAAGGGAATCCTTGGAGAATACTGATTGCCAGAAAGCGGGGGAGAGGAAAGATGCTTGCAGTGGGGGTCTTCTCCAAAGAATGTAAAAAAGGCTGATTTCAAAACCACTGGCCCCATGGCGGGCCGCTCTCTTTTCATAAGACCCTCACCCCGTTGACGTTGTCCCAGGACTACATCCGTGGGAAGGAGAGGCAGAAGCAACGTGGACAAACCTGCACGCTGCCGCCAGGCGTCCGATTGGTCCGATTCGATCTCCCCTCCTCAGCCCCGACTTGAGCACCCAAACAGCCCATGTTAGCTTCTTGCGCAAGTGGTTCTATCCGATTTCAACAAGGTTATAAGTCTACAGAATAGCCATGTTGGTGGAACTAAGGGTCAGTGGGTTGCGGGCACTGCTCAGTAGGTGGTGAGTTGCCTAGTCGACAACCCGCTCATATAGGCGAGGGGTTCTCATTGACAAGTTCAGATCGAACCTTTCTAGGGTACGACTCCGATTTCGACTCCCATGGGGCCGGCTTTCTTTTGGTCGTTATTCAGCATTTGAAACGGGGTTCCCCAACTTGAGATGTCCGCAGCCGTACTCTTTCGGCGGCAAATAATAGCACCTTCGAAAGCGTGCCCACATTGCGCAACGGACAATGTTTGCCGACACACCAAGTCTCTCTAGACGAAGACTATTGTTCGTGGTTCAGATTGGGTGTTGAAGGCAGAAACATTTTTTGTTTCGCACAAAGTAAAGTCAAAAGAAAGGTATTTTTTCTTAGACATACCGCTGGCCTATCTCCAAGAAAATACACTTCCCCAAACACGTCCACCAGTTGGTGGGGATGGTGTGATAAGCAACTGTCTATGTTCCTTAAAAGGTGGTCGAGAACATCCATCCTTTGGTTTCCAACGTTTCTTGAGTTTCTTGTTGCTTTCCACAGGGGTACTTGCAGACAGCATTCGGGCCAATTTGGCATGAACTTCTCTTGGTCCAGGGCGTGGAGAAATGCTGAGCTTCAACATGGTAATGTGGTTTCGCGGGGCTCAGAAGCCAGCCTTCCCTAGGGAAATCTAACGAGAAGCCGGGACCCCCAACACACGCACACACACACACAAAAATTAGCGCCCAGCTCATCGCTCCAGTGCCTGGCGCCTCGCCGGTGAATGCCATCTCGCCGCTTGGATCCGGGAAGACTTGGGATTCCATGGAGGTCAGGGCCAAGGGGACTCTATGGATTGGACTTTTTGACTCGAGACCTGAAAATGAGTTGTTAAACCCATTCCTGCTTTTTTTTCCGGCAGCAGTGTCCGGATTGGAGGCAACATACGTTCTTTGGAGACCCTGAAAACCCTCCATGTAAGGTTGGCCTTTTGTCGGGCCCCCTAGTGAAAAGTGAGGATGGGGGCTCGTTCCAATAGGGCCCGCAATGATGCTTTCACGAAAATTGGAGGGCACCGGGGGCCCCCAATACCTTTGCCCTCCCGCAGTCCCGTAGGCCCCGTTGTTCAGAGGACTAGGTGATGGATATATGCGTCAAGTGTCATTGTCCAAAGATCTCTTTGCCCGAGTTTAACAAGATGATGAAACTTTAGTAGGGATTTGACACAGGCATGGTAAGGATTCCTATTCAGAGAGCCATGACTATGACACCTCCAACACCAGTTTATATGTTAGGCTAGACGAAATATGAAACAGAACGGGACAACATATGTCTGTGTACCCCAGATGTGAGCCAAGAATGTTGGCGGAAAGCCGGCCACCCAATTCCATCAAGTGTTCCAGTGTGTTGCTGCCCGCACACTACACCCGGGCTAAAAGAATGGGCCCGGAAGAACTTCACGAGACCTCCAGCGTGATTCTTTGGCCCAATTCCGGAGGTTGCCGGGTGTCGTGCACAGGGTACCGATTTGTTCAAAAGAACTTGGTCTTTTGGGGTTACCAAGCGTATCTCAAATCAGTCCCTAGGATACTACGGTTGATCCAATCTTCCCCACAAAGGAAGTGAAGCCACTGGAGTGAAACCGTTCCCCGGGAACCTGACCAAGACTTATGAGGAACTGGGAGAGGTCACTTGCCACTGACAAACGATATCAAACGATAGGAGCTGCAATTCAAAGCGACTCGGATCCCAGTTACTACGAAGAGTATTGCCTTTGTAAAGCTTAAGGGGCCCATGGAAATTGATTGCTTGTGTAGGTTGTTTTCTTTCAGACCTGAAAAGGGCATCACACACAGTCTTTTTAGCGGACCCCTCCTCTTGGTTGGCATTTCAAGGAGAACACTGGAGTCCGCAATACAGAGAGAGTCTCTATATACGTCTCTATTTGCTGAGACAAACGTATCTAAAGAATCTAAATTGTTGATAGCTTCCAAAGGTATTTTGAGAACTGTGCACTCTGGGGATCCCACATCAGTTCCGCTCTCAGCTGCTTTATTTGACACCTTCGTTACCTGTCTGTGGCTGCAAGGTTGACTGATGATGAACCCCCAAACTTTTACAGGAGCTGTTTGCGTGCCCTTGTCCGGTTTGTGTTTGGCAGCAGCGTGTATGGTGGGACAATTAGGTGGCAACATC